TTTTGAAAGTGTTTGAGTTGAGCTTGCTCAGATTCACAAGTTCACAATGCACTTATGTTTAGAGGTGTTATTAAGCTACAAAGTTGTTAAATACTTTATACTCTGGACTGACTAAAGTGTTTACAGAACAAATGGGCATTATTTAGTATTCTTTACATATTTCTGCCCCTTTTTGTTTTGATTTTTAAACAAGAAAAAAAGAAATTAGACTATAATGTTGCTCAAGACAACTTTAGGTTGAAATGTTATTTAATTAAGGTGCTTGTTGACATCACAGCAAATAAAGGGGTTTAGATTCATATACATATTTTTTTCACTTTTGTTTCAACAATAATGTTTTACCATCTGAGACTGAGACCCATACAATCTCTATAATCTATGTTGCTCAAGAAATACATGTTCATAAGGTAGCACAGGAGGTTACGGTTAGAGTTATATAGTTGTTGGAATAGCACAGCTACGCTGATCCTCACGTTGTGTGGAGCAGTTATTAGCTATCTGAAAGCCTTAAGATTTAAAGGGGGAGGAAATTCAGGATACACTCTAAAAAGTGTATTTCAGCAGTAGCTGAAGTAGCGTAAAGTTCTGGCTGAGTTTCATTCAGATTTCTGCTTTAGTGGAGGCAATCTACATTTGTGGAGTATATCAACTTTGAATTACATGTTGTTCCCTCAGCACACATGTAACTTACTATTGTCATTTGAGTGAACCTGCATAAATTAGGTTTCTCGCGATGCTGTGCGTCTGACGTCATGACGTCTCTGCCTTCTCCAGAACTTTCTACCTGCACTTGAGCCGCCATTTTCTCGGCTCCGACAACTTTGGAAGAAGATATTTACTGAATTACCACTGTCTCCATCGTTTTTGAAGGTAAGTCAGAGGGAAAACGAATAATTTAATATGTTAGATATAAAACTGTGTTGTTAAATTTGTTAAAAGTAGAGATGGATAGCATCCGCCGCTAACACCCGCTAGCATCCGGCACAGCTAGCTAGTGTTAGCAACTCTCCTCCTCTGCTGCTTGGAGCTTCAGCTGATAGTAACGTACCGGTACGTTAGTCTGCAGAGACTCTGTTGGTTTAATATCGTAACGTTAGCTTACAGTTGTGTATTCATGCAGTGTGTTGGTGTTGGCTTAGTGTTAGTTATTCATTAGCATTAGCATTAGCCCATTATCCCGCATTTATACAGGAGTGTTGGTTCACGTGCCTGATGGCGCGCACAGTTCATGGTCACGGCCATGGGTGATGTGGGAGGTAATGACATAACTTAATAATTAATTATGCTCAAACTGTGGTGCTTCCGAGAAGCGTGAATTTGCTTCCACCAACGTTGTTTTCAATGTAGTTGATGTTAAGAGGGAGAGGAGAGAGGGTGCGGACAGCGCTCGTACGGGGTCATCCCTATGTTCCCCGCTAAGGTTAGG